CTCTGTTTCACCTGTGCCAAGAGTATCACCGAAGTCCAGGGGAGTTGGGGGTTCAGGGTTTGTTGGCCTGAAAGCTGATTTAAGTGGTCTCCATTGGAAGACAAGGTGGCTGTCTTGCAGCTGGGAATGGAGCTGTGTGGTAAGGGCTTCCTGTGACTGGGAAATAAGGGAGCAATTAGCAACCAGTTGGAGACCAGAGACGCTAATGAGGCTGAGTGAGCTGGGAGCCTGGGTGGCTGCCTCTGCTCCTATGAACCCCCCTTCTCCCAGGCTGCCCTGCTTGCTTAACAAACATGCACTTCCCCATCCCCCACCACTTTGTAGGACTAATTGAAAGACATCATTTTGTGTTAATTTCATGTGATTGAACTAATAATGAAAAACTGCGCTGAGCCAGCTGAGGCCAAGTGGAGAGGCTGCATGGTGTCATTCATGTGTTCCTCCTTCAGCACTTGGAGTCTGTGTTCAAGTGGCTGATGGTCTCTACTCGCCTGTGCACTTGAGGTTGGAATATCTGGCAGTTGTAGAGGGGTTTATGGTTTACAAAGTGCTATTGACTGACTCACTCAGTCCACAGTTATGGAAATCTATGTGCCTGGCATTGTGTTGGACGATGAGGACATAGAGTTTAATAAGTCTCTGCCTTTGTCCTGAAGGGGCTCCTAGTTCAGACAGAGAGCCTACCTTGACCAAAATGTTGACATTGTAATAGCATAGCATCTTCAACAGAGTAATGCCATAGAGGGAGAAGACATTGTGGCTGAGAGTATAAAAACTAGAACCATGCCATGTGGCTTGGCTCTGTTATTTATTATGGGATGCCCATCTGACTTTCCATCTGTAAAATGTGAACAAGAGCAACGCCTGCCTGATAGGGATGACGTGAGGATGAACAGTAACCACGATTAGGTATCTGACACAGAATGAACACAGTGCAAAACCTATATGTTTTCAAGAAGCCATGATGTTTCAAGCTTTTAACTGAAGAGAGCTTGATGAAGGAATTATTTACAGAAGTGGGGCAGGATTTGAGAGATTAACAATGGTGGTGAATAGCCAGAGGCCACTGGAAGCCAGTAGGACTCCTGAGTTTGGACAGATTAAGCCTCATTGTGCAGACTGGGCTTTGAGAGCCTGTGGTCTGCGTCATGCCTATAGGATCCAGACTAGTAATAAAAATGGATGGAGTAGTCTCACTAGGGACTGGACCCATCTCATTAAGAACAGTAAGCTTAGAATAAGTTTCATATCATGCAGAAATGTGGGCCTACTGCTGTCAATAGAAGGTAGTTGTTTAGAAATCAGAAATCTTGATTTTCATGGAACTCTCTAAATATGAGTACAACAAAAAATTATTTAAAATTAAAAGCTTAGTGAAGCAACAAAACAAAGCAAAATGTATCTTTGGGTCATGGTTTAAGTTCTGAGCTGACAGTGGCTCTTAGTACTGAAAAGGAAGGTTTGGAGCAAATGGGGAATGGTTCACATAGAAGATGGGAGCTACTTAGAGAAGAATAAGGGAAAAGAGCAGCCCCTGCAGAAAGATAAAGAGGGCAGAGGCCAGTAGGTGGGAGTGGAGGTGGGTATGGTTCGTAGAACAATCAGAAGATAGATCTGGCTTCAGGGGATAGTGGGAGGCTTCTTTGTAGACTAAATTCAGGCCTAAATCTCACATTCTTAATATGCTACCTCATCTAGTGCTTGAGCTACTTTAAAACATTTGATCTGGTGATTATCCAGCCTTGGTTTGGGTAATCACCCTCTACCAGTGGACTAATCACTTGTGTCAGATGTAGCCGGCATCATAGACAAAGAGGTGACAAGCAGTAACCAATTGTTTGAGTTCCAGTACCAGCTCCTCCGCCTACCATCTATGTGACTCTTGGCAAGAGGTTTCTCCTCTTACTGGGCCTGAAAGTGGAACATAACAGTAGTACCTAGTTCCTGAGACTTCTGGGAGATTTTGGAAGATCATGAATTTGTTGTGCCTTTAACACAGCACCAAGAATGTCATAAAATCAATAATAGCATTAAAAAAAAAAAAGAGGATGTCCTTCAGATGTCCCATGTATAGTGACTTAGTGCATGGAATCAGACATACCACTATGGATTAGAAGAAGATAAGAGCTCTACCCTCTGTTTGAGACCCCCACTAAGCCTTTGCTTAAGTGTTCAGCTAGCTCTAGGGCTAGCTGGGGTAGACAATAAAAGTTCATTGCTTTCTGCCCAGGGATCCAGCTTATCATGGGCATGCTGTCTGAGAAGCCAAGGTCTGGGGCCCCTGCTGAAGTTGCAGCCTGTGAGAGAGTCCAGCAGAAAGCTGCAGTGACACTAGCCCGTCTCAGCCGAGACTCAGATGTGGCCCGGGAGGCTGTGCGCCTCAATTGTGAGTGATGCTGATTGTGGTTGGAATGTAGTCGGGAGCTTGGGGTTGGAAGTGGTTCTGATTTCATGGTGGCATCAGTGGACACAGGGAAAAGGCTAGCTGGAATGAACCCCATTCTGTGTGTTGGGAAATGCTGGGATGGAAGTCTGGGGTATAACCACTAGTCTAGCTTGTAGCCTGGGGCAGAAACAGGAGAGAGGAAGGGCCTAGAGAGGTAAAAGTTGGCAAGAACAATGACTGACCTATAGACTCTGTTAATTGTTTTTTCTTTCACCTATTCATTTGCTCATTTATGACTTACACAGTTTTTCATTCAATCTTCATTTACTTTTCCACTCATTGGTTCATTTCCTCAAAAATTCAGTCCTCCATTGACCTATTCATTACTTCCACTTATATTAGCTCATTCATTAATTCACTTATAAATTGTTAGTCATATTTATACAACAAATATTTTCAGAGCACTCACATTATTCTAATCTCTATTCTGAGTGTTAGGCATTTAATAGTCCCATGGGGGTGGACAGGTACGGAAAGATGTCTGCATTTGCATATCATAGAATCTATGCTCAAAGCATATTTGGCAGACAGAAATAGACCATGTTTATCTGGAAGGGTCAAGGAATATTTTAACAATGAGGCAAGTCTTCAGTGTGGTTTTTGGTGCCTTTTTTCAGTAAACATTGATAGAGTTTCTCTAGGAAACATTAATAAAGTCTGTAGTTTTTGGTAATTTTAGCTACAATATACTTTCTGACTGAAATAGGCAGAAAAAAAAAGTATACTGTGGCAAATTCCTTTGGCACATACATGAATGTTGTGATAAACTCCGGTAAAAACAGAAATTCTTGCTCAAAGATGGGCAATACCTCTACTGTATTTTACCAATGCTTAATCCTAGCCAGTGATCTGGCCCTTGTAGGTTTGGCTTTGATACTTTAACTTTCTCTGCCCTTGATCAGAGTCTGCTCGTAGCTGAGAAATTAGAAAGTTTCTACCACACATTCCTTCAGGTGGGTTCAGCCCTTTCCTCAGCAGATTGAGGGTAATTAGGGCCTGTGTTGTATAAGAGAGAGCTGACACCTTTTGATCAACCTGGTCAGGCCTCCCAACCTGGGCATGAGGCTCTCCCTTTGTCTCACACAGGTATGTCCCGTCTCATCGAGCTCTGCAGATCTCCATCGGAGAGGAACAGCAGTGACGCTGTGCTTGTGGCCTGCCTGGTGAGTTCTCAGCCTGCCCTTCAGTACTTCCCCCATTCCACCTTTCTGGCCTTTGGCTTGCAGATCAGAGGCTAGGAGAGCTGGCTATGCCACAGTTGTCTTGGGTAAATCTTAACATCTCTCTGGACTTTAGCTTCTACAGTAAAATGATAAAAATCGTAATACTTATTTCCCTTAATAAAATTGTGATGAAAAATCATATGAAGCCATATATGTAAAAGATGAGGACTGAGAAACTGCTCCCCCATCCCACCACCACAATTTTAATGACTTTGTAAATTCTGAGGAATCTTAACAACAGATCAAACCCAGAGTGGTGAGCTGGCTAGCTGCTAGGTGGTGGTACTGACATCGCACAGCTTGCGGAAAATGGGAGCCAGAAAATGGACACCTTCCAGTTTCAAAGTGGACATTGTAAGGAAAGCCCTCTTTCTCTCCTAGAGGACACCCTTTTGCTGGGCTCTTTTAGCACTGTAGCTCTGTCTTCCTTTATGGGAAAGGATGGAAGGGAACATGACAAGATAGGGAGGGTATTCAACGAGCCACCAGGATTTTTACCTTGAACCCAAGTAAGTACATCCTAGGAAGTTTCCACTCAACTTCCTAATGCTGGGGTCCACCATGAACTAATCAATAGTAGCTGATGGGGATTGCATGCTTTGTCTGTATCTTCTCTCCATGGGGCTATAATGAATTCCAGAGCACAATAGCAAAGTAGCTTCCAGTTGGAAGCATCAAATAAAGGGAAGACATTGGATAAATAGGGCCATTTATCTTCCATAAGAGAGTGCCAGATTTTAGGTCCTTAGAGGATCCAAGGAAGAAGTGATGAATGTAAGGATCTTTTAAGCCCTCTCCTCACCTCACTTTTTAATTGAGTTCATCTCATTTCTGGGAGTTCCTGATGGGCAGCTATAAATTTTATTCAACAATTGTTTACTGAGTGATTTTATGTGCCATTTACTCTTCTAAGCAATAGGGACATGGCTGTGAAGAAAAGACAAGAGAGCTCTGTGCTCCTGTGGCTTTCATTCTGGGACAAACAGGACAATTCTAACTCTTTGTGCCTTTGGCAGTCTGATGACGTTTATGGACCCCTTGTCAGAATAGTGTGTTAAATGCATAAGATATATAGATTTTAAAAGGATACCAATTATTTTAAAATAATTATTAAATATTTAAGCACATGACATTAGCAGACATACTTTTTAATGGCTGTAAATGATATTTGAATTTATCTTCAAAATGTTTAATGGGATCTGAAAATATTCATGATTTCTATTGATGAACTAGGCCAGAGATTACTTATTCATCAGAGATTTATGATTTGTTGGTATCTTCACAACTGAAGAAAATGCTAAGTTTCAATTACAGCTTAGTAAAAATAAGGGTTGTAACTTTTTCTCATCCAAATTCACAGACTCTCCTATGTCTGCTTGATCTAAAATGAGAAGAGAGAATTAAGCTAGCAAGTACATAATGATTGGTCCCCAACTACCATAGTCTTCACCACTCTGGCAGCCAGCAGCAGCCTGAGTGAGTGGAAATGTTAACAGCATGGAAAGCACGTGGAAACTACAAGCTCCTTTTAGGTATGAGGGCTTGTTATTACTACTGCTGGCATTTTTACCATTAGTTTGAAGGAGAGCTCACAGAAGAGTTTGGGTACTATGTTTAATCACTTGAAGGATCTTCAGATGGAGGAGGGATTATATTTGGTTTTGGAGATGAGTTGGTGGATGCTAATCCATCCTTCATGTGGTTGCTGAGTTATTTTTCCTAATGACAGTTTACAAGCATGACACTTCTATGAAATTCCCATGGATCCCTCCATGGTTCTCATTACCTACAGGCTACTATCCACCTACTCAATCCTTCACAGTGTTATTCTGACCTGCCCCTGGGGCCTGAAAGCATCCCACTGTTCCCAGATCCTATCCAACTCTGCCAAGCTAGAATACCCTGAATGCCTTGCCCCATGCCTCAACCAAATGCCCTCTCTACAACTCTATTTGTTAAAAACATGTCAAATCATTCACAGCTCAGATCTATATCCTTTTCCTCCATCAAGTACTCTAGGAGCTGTCTGTGGTGTAAAGACAGAATACACAACATATACCCAGGCCGCCCCTCTTAGATTTTTGTCTTACCTATCTGAGGCAGTTCATATTATGTACCATGAAGGCTCTTGGAATTCAAACACAGACCTGTTTTACTCTGGAGGCCTTGGCTTTTTTAACCAGACCATCTTGCTTTCAGCCATGCTCTTTCTTTTCCTTTTTCTCATGGCCCTGGTCTCAATATGTTGACTCTTGAGGAAGGATTTGGATCTCCTCCCTGTACCCCCATCTATCCTGGAACCTTTTTAGGGCAAGGACCTTTTCCTACTTCTTGGTATTTCCACAGGCCCTTGAGTTTGATGACTGTTTACTGACTGATCTTAAGATTAGTACACATGTCCCCTGTCTCCAGTTGCCCAAGTTCGTGACCATGTTGGTATAGCTTGGCCTAGAAAGGCTCCAACACTGAAATGCAATTCCCAGGCTGGTAAGATGGGTGACACGTGTAGCCAGGCCTTATAATGGAGTCAGGAGCTGCTTTTTGTGCTCTTCCCCAGGCCTTCTTTCCAATTTCAAAGGCTCTCTTCAGGTGGATGGAGGACATTCAATTATCACTCCTGTGTTTAGGAAAGAGGCAGTACAGATTGTCTCTCACAGTAAGCATTGGTTTTTTTTCCTTAATGAAACAGCTGTCAGTGGGCTACTCAGCTCCATTAATACTTGAGTGTTTCTGGCTCTCTGGGAATCTGAGATGATGGTCTGTTAACACTCCCATAAAAGCAGAGGCAGGGAGCAAGGCTTGGGAAGACTGCCTGAGGGTGCTGGACACTGAGTATGGGGTGTTTTGAATCGGCATGGGATTCATGTTCTAAAGACTTTCTAGGGACCCTGGAAAGATATAGGTATCTGTTCTCTCTCTCTCTCTTTTGTTTTTGCCTTTCTTTGTTTCTGATGTTGCCTTCTCTCTCAGCACTGTCTTGCTTTATTCTTCCCTTTCTTTTGATCTCCCTAATCCCCCTCCCCCATTTCTTCCTTTCCTCTCTGCCTTTTCACCTTCTATCTCTCTTCTATTGTCTGTCATCTCCAAAGGGCTCTCTCTCTTTTTCTTTATCACTTTTCTTTTTGTCTCCTTCTACCTATCATGCTTAATCTCATTTCTTTTACCAAGTTCATCTGTATCTCTATTTTAGTATCTTCTTGCTCTGCTTCTTTGGTATTTTATTTTTCCCCCTGTCTCTCTGCTATTCTTCTATCTCATTTGTTTTCTGTCTGTCTGTCTGTCTGTCTCTCTCTGAATCTCTGTCTCCCTCCCTCTCTCCCTCTGATACTGGGGTTTGAACTCAGGGCCTCAGGCTTGCTGGGCTCAGCCTGGCCTGTCCTCTACCCCTTAAGCCACACCCTCAGCCCATTTTTGCTTTTAGTTATTTATTGGATAGGTCTCAAGTTTTTGCCTGGGTCCAGCCTTGTACTGCAATCCTCCTACCAATGCCTCCCATAGCTGGTTTTATTTGTTGTCTTGATGGCCTGTTTTCTATTTACTTTGTCTCTTTGTCCCCCCCCAACCCCCGCACACACTTTATTTTTACCCATGATGATGCAAAATACATAGACAGCCTCATCTGCAGAATGTTCCCTGGTCCCATTTTTCACTGTGATATCTCAGGGGAAGTGGGATTATTTCTCCCAGTTGGAGCCAACAATAATCAGAAAATTCTATGGCGTTCAACCTCTTTGGCCCTTGGGGTATGTCAGGCCCCAGGGGAGGCAGGACACACTAGGCAAAGACAATCAGGGGCCCTAGTTTTTGCAACTAATGTCTCAGATCTGCTCATGTGCACAGAGACACATGTTCCTTCTTATTTATTTATTTAGGTGGCTCTGAGGTTGATCTGAGGGCCTCACACTTGGTAGGCAGGTACTCTTACTGCTCGAGCCACTCCACCAGCCTTTTTTGTGATTTTTTTTTTTGAGATAGGGCTTGCAAACTATTTGCCTGAGGCTGGCTTCAAACAGTGATCTTCCTGATCTCTGCCTCCTGAGTAGCTAAGATTACAGGCATGAGCCACCAGCATCTGACTTGCTCCTTTTTCTTGATCTGGCTTGGACATGACATCTGTGAGTCCAAAAACCACCTAAAACGATCCTCCCTTTTCACTTCCTTGGCCTGATTTCTCAGCACCAGGCTATCTGACATGTGTAGGTAATGGACTCTGCTCTTGCTTTGCATTCAATATAACCTTAATCCAGTGATTTGGGTTGCAGCAATCCTGCCTGTGGGGGTGTGATTGCTCTGGAGTTGGGCTCCTGCGTGGTCTTGGGAAGAACACTTTCTTGCTATGAGCTTGTTTCCTTGTTTTTATCTTCAAGATGGAGATCATAATACTTACCCTTTAGCACCAAGTAGGGATTAAATGAGACACTATATGTAGGCATTGAGTAAGGGATGGCATTCCCTTCTTCCTTGTTTCTTTAGCCATTCTAGATATTCTACCACTCTCTTTGTTTCCAGGGTTGGTGAGGAGAGGTGCCTTGTCCCCTGCTGTGTACATACTCAGGAAGAGGGAAGGGATTAATGTTAATTGAGTGCTTCATATGCATTGCATTAGTTAATTTCTGCACATATCTAGGTAGCTGGCAACTCACATTTAGAAATAATTTCAGGACACTCTATTAATTTCAGGTTTAAAACAGTTGCCTATTCATTTCTTTTCAGCAAACAGATGTCAACTGCTGCTTGGTATAGATACAGAGAAATTGAAAAGAATTATTACTCTTGAGGTGCTGAGTCTGGAGTGGGAGATAAACACTTAACAACCAGTCATAGTCTAGTGTGAGGGGGCTGAGATCAGCCCAGGGACTCTGAGGGTGTAAGATGTACCTGTGGGGAGGTATTGGGAGGTAGGGCTCATACTTCTGTGCATCAGAGTAATCAGGATAGTTTTTGCAGGGGACCTGACAATGCATGAATGCATCTGCTGGTTAGAAAAGAATGGGTAGAGCATGAACAGGACATATGGACATCAATCCTTGGGGGGGTGAGAAAGATAGCTGCTTCATTCTGCCTGCCCTTTCTTTTCTGCTCATTCCCTTTTGCTGCAGTTGAATTTCTCAGTGACAGAATCTCTATCTACCTTGACACTATGTTTTCCTTTCCTTTCCTCTTTCTTTTCTGTCCCATAAGGCTTTATAAGGACCTTGATGCATTTATGGATAAATGACTAGTTCTTGATGTTTTAAGTTTACTCTAGGGACCTGGAAGCAATAATATAATTTCACTAATGTTTCTGGCAGTTCAGTCTCTAGGAAGAACATATTTTGAATATATCACTAAGTTGACCAGATATTTAAAATGACCATTTTCCTAAAATGATTGGAAAACCAAGATGACAAGACAAAAATTAAGACCATTAAGAGTTTTCAGATGTCATCTGCCATAGTGATGAAAGTGCAAATGAAACCAGGTGACCATGTGATAAGGGCACTATGTGAACAGGTTACCAAAATAGTCACCAAGGGGCCATGTGGTCCAGAAAGGGATTAGCTCAAATAGTAGTTAATGTACCACTTCCTGAAATGCATTTCTCTGGAAAGCTAAAGGATACGCATGTTCTTGAGCAGGGCCCAGGGTGACCTGTGTCATTTCTTCTGTTTTCTCTCCAGGCTGCTCTGCGTCGATTGGCTGGAGTCTGCCCTGAAGGTCTCCAGGATTCTGACTTCCAGCAGCTGGTCCAGCCTCGGCTTGTGGACTCCTTCTTACTCTGCAGTAACATGGAGGAGAGTTTTGTGTAGTGAGTGTGGAAGAGGAAAGGCATTCGCTCCTCTAAGCACACACCTATGCTCTCATCTGAGTTCATACCAGCTGTTCTCACCTCCTTATTTATACTTTATTTATTTTTTACATGAAGTAGACAGAAAATGAAATCTTCTAGAAGCAGCATCAAATTGTAGATGGTCTTTGGGAATCTTTTGTTTTTCTTTTTTGACTTCTGTGGCTTTTAAGTTGCAGATGTTGAAATGTATAATGGCTAATATGACAGATTGTCATGAGCGATTTCATCTTGTTTTCCATACTTTCACTATATAATCTTGTCTGATTTCTAAAACTTTGGAGACAGAGTATTTTAACTGCCCAGCAGTTTTTTTTTTTAAAGTTAGACTTGCTGTTTCCAAAAATTTTAAATGAATTTCACAGTTGGACAGAATATACTAGAAGGAAAACTTTTTCTTTAATAAATGAATCATGCAAAATGTGTCTTGGATATTTCTGATTAAATGTATCTTAAACTAACTTCTTGCATCCCAAGGTTTCATGCTACAAAAACCTTTCCAGCTATTAAAAGTACATAGAAAGTTGTCTTGTTTTCATTAGGTGCATAAATGAGTCAAGTTCCCAGTGATTTAATGAGAAATCACGATGAGATTAAAAAGTGTTTCCAAAGACACCAGAAACTCAGCTTCCTTTGCTCCCCTGCTCTTGTGTAACCTGTTACCTCCTGGTGAATAGAATCCTAATATGAGGCTTATGGATAATTCCTCTGTAGAGAGTATGCCTAAAATCAGGGGTGTGCCGGAGGTGGCTCATTCTGGTTCAGAAGGGATGACTTATTCCTTGTTGGAATTTCTTTCTACTGTGTATTCAGTGTATTCAGTTTCAGGTGGTAGACTGAAATTGGCCATGGGGGTAGTATTTTCACCTCCTGAATAGGCAGGTACTACCAAGCAGAGGTTTTTTTCAGAGTGCTAGTTTTCTAGCACTTCCTTGAAAGTATTAAGAAGATCTGGGAATCCTGAAATTTTAATGACATTTCATTGTGGTATGATTTTATACAATTCAAGAAACATTTTTCAAATTCTCAATCACTAAGCTAAATGAGTTAACCTAATAATCAGGTCCTGAGATAAGCATCTAGCATGCATTATCTCATTTATTCCTCATATGAATCACATAATAATTAATTAGTATGTTCAAATATACTGCTGTATGTGATCATTTTATTAAATCACTTTCCTAAGTTACTAGCTGGTAAATAGTGCAAGGACATATACCTGGCAATATCTGTTAGCAGAACCTTTGTTCTGGAGTCCTATATAGAAAAGTCTAGGTACTTTACCTAAAACAATGATGATGAAAATGATAGAGAACATTTACCACCTGCTGAGCACTTGTTTTATATTATCTTATATATTAACTCATGAATATACAGTAACACATGTTATCACATATTATTTATTCAGTTCTCTTACAACTTTGTGAGGTAGCTATTATACTCATTTTACAGATGAGACAATGGAGCTGAGATAGCAAATAAATGTCAAACCAAGGTCTCCTGGGTCCGTAGTCAAAGCTTCCACATTTAGTAATAAGTTTTTTGACAAATGTCACTGCATTATAAAGGTTGTCCAGATATTGTCACCTCTTGTTACATAAAACCAACAAAGAACTTTTGTTAATATTATCACGGATCTCATCAGAAAAATCTTTAAACAATGAGAAACTATCAAACTTAGAAACTCAAATTTTATTATCAACAAGTACTGCCAGTTGTTTTGCTTGAAGAGACAGGCTTGCTTTGTTCCTTTTAGAGAAAATGTCTGCCTCTAAAGACCTCAGTTTTAATAACCATAGTTTGTCAGTCAATTAATCTTTTGCATAAAAATCACATTCCAGGAGAAAAGCAACTTGATCACTTTGTAATTAAAACAATCATACAATTGCTTTTTTCTTGAAACCGACACCCTTCCTGTTTCAGCATACAGTAGAAATACCGAAAGTGCAGTTCTCATTTTATCTCCCAGAATTAAAAAAAAAAAGACAAACCATATACCAAGGGGTCAATGTTTAATAAAATTAATAATTTTATTAAATAATTAATATAATTATTAAATAGATACTATAGTAAGGATATTCTTAAGTAAAACTGGTATTTTAAATTTTACTCTAAGTGAGTGGCAGCAAATGATGCAGTGGTTCTAAGTACAGTTTGGTGTCACTACCCTGATCATCGTAATATGCAAGTTTATCTAGCATTACTTTTGTACCAGTCATGCAAATGTCAGCAAGTATAAAAAAGTATATAGGTTCTCAGTATTATTATGGAAATAGCATCTACCTCACAGAATTCCTAAAAAGGATGCTGGGAACCCCCAGAGATGGTGGGCCCTACTTTGAGCATCACTGGTTTAGTTTAACTCATTTTATAGTTGAGGAAACTGAGGTTTGTACTGAGGGAAGCACACAGAATGAGGACTAACACCAGCCTCTTGAGTTGCAGGTCAAGACATTGCTCATTCCTTAATACCAGGCTTGATGGTCAGTTTACAGAACTGGCAGAGACCAGAACAAAACTACTCTGTTTATAATGTGTGCGTTGAAAATCTCTACCTTGTAATACTTGTGGGCCCTGGTAGGAGACAGAATTTAGTTCAGGTAGTTCAAATAAAGAACTCTTAGTAAAGAGACTACTTGAGACTTATAGGTGCTTCAAGGAGCTGTTGAGGAACGCTGAGCCTTCCAGAGATCAACAACGGTAATGAACCCTTACCAACCATGGGGAGAAGGGTCAAGTGAGATAATAGTGTTACCAAAGTCTGTGGAGTGCTGGGGTTATGGCAAAGGGGATCTGGTGGAAGCAATAGGGACTAAGTCATTTCCAGAGACATGGAGCCTGGGCAAGAAGATAGCAGATCAGAAACACCTTGACCCTCCCTTCCTACATTCTGATCTCCCACCAGTGCCTTCCATTGGCTAGTCCTCTGCCGTGAAAGCCAGAGTGATGAAATCCTTTGGAACCAGTATGTTGAGGAGAGAGGAAAGTGGATGTGGGTGTGTCAGTATCCCTCAACCCTCATTCACCAACTCACCACATCCATCTAAATGAAGCATCTAGAACTGAAAACATCCTCTCTGCTCCCCACCCTTCATGTCTCCAACCATGCCAGTTATGGTAAAGCAGGGTCACCAATGCTTGTATGTGTTAGAAGTTGAAGGTTGAAGGGACAGTTATCACTAAATTTTGACTTTAAGGGAAAAGAGTTCATAAGGGAAGCCAAAGACAATATGAATACTAACTGGAAGGAAACAATTTTTTGCTTAATATTTCATGTCCTTTGAGTTTTTTGTTTGGGATAGATGTAAAATTCTAATTTTTCTAATAAGTTGCAATAAATAATAGGAAAGGAAGATCTAAGACTGAGAAAACCAAGTGCCTATTCAAAGGCGTTGACACATAAAAGATACCATGGTTGTAAGATCCTCTGTGAGACAATCCTGTCCTCTGAGAACCTGAAGCTTCATCGTGTCTTGTCTCTGGCTGTATTTAACCTCAGAGTAATTACTGTCCCTTCAATGAAGTCTTTTTGTAACACCCACAAATTCATAGCATGGAGTGATGGTGTTATACATAAAGGAAACTATTATTAATAAACAAAGGAAAAGGAGAAAGAAAAGGAAAATGGATAAAGAACAGACTCAGGGCAAGGCTTGAAGGGTCTTTAAAAATAACGTTATTCAGAAAAGTGGAACTTGTGAAAGAGAATGTTTAAAAGAGGAAAGAAAGGATGGCGTTGGGCTCTGGATAGAATTTAGTTAAAATCCACAGAAGATGGGAAAGAGACCATTTTCTCCAGGCTGTGATGGATACAACAGACAGGATGACACAATTCAGTCTTAACTCGTGAGATCCTCAAAGGTCTACCATTTTTAAAGTAGTCTTGGAGTATAGACTGCAAGCTTGGTCACATGGATGAGCAACTTCTGAGCTTGTAAGATGCCTAGACAGGAATTCTTAACAGAGACCATGGGACAAAGCTTCTCATTTCAGAACTCAGAGAACAAGGGAGAGCTGTTCCTTAGCTTAGTGGTTCCATTTGAAGTTTGTCTCAAAGAATAGAGCTAATGCTGATCTTTATTTAGTGCTTCCTGTACACAGCCATATTACCCTATAGTACCTTGCATTCTCCATTTGTGGATCAGATGCTATTAATAACATTCCATTTACACTCTCCATTACAGATGGGAAAATTGAGGCTTGGAGAGATTAAGTAGCATCGCCAGAATCAAATAGTTGATGTTGGCTAGGGTTTGAACCCATATCTGTATGACTTTAGAGGTGGATTAGGAAGAAAGCAGGAACCCAAATACTTACTAGAAGGTAGACATGGCTCAGAGCCTTTGTGCAATCATCATCATCCAGCAAACATATCATAAGGGACTGCTGTAGGCTCAGGAAAGAAAAACAAAAATAAGTAAGTTTTGGAATTATCTCTGATTTTAGACTGGAGGATGAGTTGTAGTGTTGTGTGTCTCAGAAAAGCTACTTAGCATAGTAGTTAAAACTGCAGTTTATCTTAAATTTAACAATGTTTCTATCACTTTCTGTGTGACCTTGAGCAAAATACATGTCTTGCTGTTCCTCAGTTGCCTCATCTGTAAAATGAGATAATGGTGCCTTGATCATACAGTTGCTATGAGAAATAAATGTGTTAACTCTTGAAAAAGGCTTTCCTAATGGCGAGTGCTCAATAAACCCAGCTACAATTAAAATCAATGAGATGCCACCTTTGCATCTATTCAGGTAGCCTGGTTCCTTTGACAGTGCTTCAAATGTACCTCCAGAGTGTGTTGGAAGTAGAAACTATCAGTCTTCTGAGGAATTGACAGAGCATCAGGACTCCTCTGTATGTCCTGTACCTAGAAGTAGAGACGTGCCCCAAATTAAAGAGCAAGTAAATGGGCTTCTGTCCAAGAA